TTCTTAATATGTTGCCTGAGGAAAAGAAAATCTTGTAAAAGTTTACAGTGAGAATCCCATCTATCTTGGGAATTCCAAGACAGCCCAACGCTACTGAGCAGTTGGCTTCTCAGTGGACTTACTGAGTAACTGTGTGCAGGTAAAGGAAGCAAAACCAGAGAAATTAAATAACAAAAGTGAAAACAAAGAAGACAGAAAATATGATTATATCATTTAAGACTAACTTGAAAACTACAAACCTGGGCAAGAGATAAAGAAATATTCATGATATTCCTAATTCTGCACTTACAATTTTAAACAGTATTTATGCAACTGATATGTCTGATTTTAAAAAAAATATACTTTTCTAATGACCTAACAGACAAAATACTGCTTTCTGTGCTGTGCTTTCATCGCTCTACTTATTTTCAGATACGCAAGAAGGGATACAAATAGTGCTTTATCAATATAAAAGAAGACTTTCTTCCCCTGAATGAATCTATATCAAAGGTTGATACATACAGTACACTGACAAGACATAATTTTACTTTAATTTTGTCTGGACTCTAACTTTCAAGACAGAAGAACTTCCAATTGTATGGATGCCAGGAGGCTACTTAAGGTTTCTGGGGATCTGTGCAAGTATTTTAGCAAGTCAGAGCAGACAGTGTCTCTGTTTCGAATGGTACAGCCAACAAGAAACTGAAAATTACTGTCTAAGAACAGATGACTACCAGAGAAAGAAGCCTTTACTATCTTTAGGAAGTTTCCACAGAAAGATGTAAAATGAGAAGCAGAAAAGAAAGCTCCAAGGGAAGTCTTCCAGAGCAGAACATGCTCCATCCCCAGGATGATGAGGAGCTAGAGCTTAAGGAGGAGGTGGTATCACACGGCCAGTTACGGCTTTCTCAAAGCTTCCCAACATTTCATTCCTAATCTGAAATTTACAACCTCATTTTAATTTCAAATGCTCTAAGAGTTAAAAGTGAACCTATAGGCTACAGATTTTTATTAGCCATAACTGTGAAGCCAGAATTAAAACCAGATATATTTTATTAGATAGTCATATAACTTATCTATTCAAACTTTTTAACAAGGGAATTATACAAGAACTGTTCTGACTTTTTAAATACAGAATAAAATTAAAACATGCCCGATGTTAAAAACACAAATATAATAATCAGATACTTTTAAGTAGTTTGGGAGGAAAGTGTACTGCTGCTGAGAGATAATCTTAGTTTCTGAATGTTAAATAAATTAATATCTTCGGGCCACAAAAGCAAATATGGAAGAAACACCTGGTCCAGAACTTAATTCAAAACAAAACAAGAAAAAAAACTTCCCTGCCTGAACTTTAAAGACTCCTAAACTACAGACATAACCAAAATTGCTACTGGAGTCAGCAATATTGATTTGTTTTCATTACATGTATCTCAGATCACAAAGAATTTATAAGGTTGTTCTATAAATTCTTAATACAAACTCGTGTATGCACGGTCACTATAAAAGCCAGGCTGCGCACGTAATCAGCATCGTTATACGAGGAAAAGCTGTTCATTCGGGGTCACCAGTGTCAAAATGCAAAGACTCCAATTAGTTCCTTACTCACTCAGTGTGCTGTAATAAGCTTTAAATATTTTCAGCCTGTTACAATATAGACATTACTTTAACTGAGACACACTAAGTAATATCAATTACCAAAAATCTTTGATCGATGATTCAAATTGCAGCAGAAGTCACTTACACAGGAAAGATTCATGCATTTAAACAGAGTATTTACCCAAGAGAACTGCAGAGCAAACTATTATGGGGTCAAAGTTTAACTTTTGCAACTGGAATTTTTATGTCTAAGCATATATTTCCCTTGCTTTTATTCATCGTAATGCACCTATGCCATATAATCCTTTTTGGAAGCTTAAAGCTTTGCAGTTCTACAGCATCAAAATCCCGTTTGGCTTATCTCTGACTGTGGTGTAGCAGTAGTAGTAAGGCTGCAACTTCTAAATCAGTATTTTCCATCAATGTTATTTTATTTCTATAAACCAGTAGTTTCCTATCTTCTTCATCATCCTTGCAGCAGATGTTTTAATTAGTAGTAGAAATGAGAACAATATGAAAAATACAAAATTAAGAAGTATAGCTTGTAACATCGCCTGACGTTTACTGGACTAAATTAAGTCAAATGCTAAGAAACAAGGTCCTGCATTCAGATACGTATAAATACAGCTTGGGAAATGTGCTCCAATACACCGATTCTAACTTTACAATTACAATTTTACACAAGGATATGCAGTTATTTAATGCATCCTAATCTTAGTTTCCAAATGCCACACGTTCTTATCCAGGTGTCTCCTAGTATTGTGACAAGTCTCTTGGTGACTAGCACAGCTTCAAAGCTTGAGTTCTAAACTTTGCTTTTTATTCATTCCATGTTCATGTGTTCTGTCCTCCCACACCATTTCTTTGTCTTACCTGCTCAGCATCTTATACCCTTAATAGCTGTCGTCAGCTCCACCTACCAAGAAACTACAATAGGCTCTGCTGTAGTTGATCAAAACAAATGGCATTGACACCAAGTGATGCTCAAACCTTCTGTGATTAATTGTGCTATTAGAGACTTTTATATTTTTCTAGAAAGAATTCACAAACCTCTTCCATAAATTGAACAACACTCCATTATGTCTGTACGGCTCATGTTGAGGTATCAGCGTATCTCAACACTTAAAAACAGCAGTCGTTAATAGATGCAATTACTCAGGACTAAGTGGTCTCAACTAAATCAGAAGTCTTTAATTTCTAGGAAAGTTCATACAGAACTGTATGTTTGGTAGGAAACATAGTTGCTAATTACTTTATGTGCTAAATGAGCCGTAAGAGTTTTTAAAATGCTATTTAAGGATCTTTTTTTCTTCATACTGTTCTGTAAATATAAATAATATGGAAAATAGAACCAATGCTAGACTAGAACATCTCTCCTATGAAGACGGGAGGAGAGCTGGAGTTGTTCAGCCTGGAGAAAAGAAGACTCCAGGGGGACCTTACTGGGGTCTTTCAGTACTTAAAGGAGGTCTATAAGAAAGATGGGGACAAACTAGTTAGGCCCGCTGTGTCAGGAGTCATGGTTTTAAAGTAAAAGACCGTAGAATTAGATTTGATAGAAGGAAGAAATTTTTTACTCTGAGGGTGGTGAAACACTGGAACAGATTGCCCAGAGAGGTGTAAAATGCCTCGCCCCTGGATATATTAAAGGCCAGGTTGGATGGGGCTCTGAGCAACCTGATCTAGCAAAAGGTGTCCCTGCTCACTGCAGGGGTTGGACTGGATGAGCTGTGAAGGTCCCTTCCCACCCAAAATATTCTATGATTCTACGATTTTTAGCAAAGCAGATTCTCGCACAGAGACCTGATTTGTTTACAAAAAACTGTCTTCTTTCAGGACAAAAAACACATCAAATGTCTTTTGAGGTATTGGGGATTTTGGCGGGTGGTGTTTGTTTTGAGGCTTTTTTGCAATTACACTTAAAGAAGGCTATTATAGAGCTTTTATTTACTTATATTCACTGGAGTAGGCGGTTATTTCACTGTCATTGCGTAACCATTTAAATTCCAAGGGCCAGCTGCCTTCTGCAAGGCATGTAAGTACAAGACGATTTCCTTCCAAGTGGATCTGGGGCAAGCCTGGTTCAGTCTTGAAGTACGGTGCAACATCATCTGAAACAGAGAGAGAAAATGGTTCTGTAAGCCATGCAAGCAAATACAGTAAAAATCACCAATATGTAACTCATTTATTCTCAAAATGGCCAACAGAAAACAAGAGACAACATGATTCAGTAGTCAAGGCTTACACTGTTATATTCATAACAAAGCTTTCTCTTTAGAGGCAGAATTCACAAGATCTTGATAACCTTCATCCTTGGAACATATTTAGAAGTGCCCACTCAGACAAGCTTTTGTCCATGTTTACTGTTTATACATATGAGAATTTCAGCATTGTCTACTGTGGCAGGCAGTGAACAGCCCTATTGGCTTTTTTTATGTTCCCTCTCCTCTGTGAGGATTAAATCCACTCAAAGCTTTTTTATTTCTTGAATAGAAACCAGAAGAGTAATCTTGGATAGAAATGATTATCACAGCAGGAGAAGTCTCAGGGTAAATGAGGAATTTTGATAGAAAAAAAGAGTTTAGAAAAAAACACCTCACAAAATTGCAAGATTAATGTGTTTTTCAACGGTTTTGCCAGCCAAAATGTGTTAAATTATATTACCTAGAACTACTAACAGATTTTAAATTAGGGTACTTCTACAATGTTCAAGGGTTACATACAGCCTTAAACTCCTGTTCTCCCACGGAGCACAAATGCTCAAAATACTTCAAGCAGCAAAATTCTTGACTGGTAAATTGCCGAAGTTCCACTCAACACACAGGTTTACTATGAGTCTACACTGGTTGGAGATCCCCCTCCTTGTCACCTCTGGAAGATTAAGGTTTTCACACTTTACACGTCAAATTTCTACTTGTAACTATGTAGGAACCACAGGCTTAATCCTAGAAGTTTACAAATACCTTCCATAGTCAAAACGTACATGTTTATGAATATATGAAATACACAAGTTATTCAAGGTCAGAGATTTAATACAAAATATGAAAAAATATTTAACAGGTAGACATTACTGCACTCTGCTTTTCAGGAGTGCAGAGTGTGTATGTGTATGTATTTCATATAGAAAATTTTAGAAATAAAAATACACAAACGTTGTCCCTGTCCAACTAACTGTTCGGTTCAACTGCTAATCTTTCTTTTAAAACGTATTTTAGATTAAGCTCCAGTATTTTTATAGTTGCTATTTAAAGAGTTCAAGCTATCTTTTACAGTTTATGGGCAAGTGACCTCATGTACTATTCAAGGCCGGCTGAAATTTCTGAATCCAGAGGTCACACACCATAATCTTTAATAGCTGAGAGCCACAAGACCACAACCACACACCTCAGGGATGAAGGAGCTGAAGGTAAGGGGTGTCAGTGGCTCTCAAGGTGCCCCAGTGTTTGTTCCACCGCTGACTGAGGCAGCAGTGGGGCTGCAGCTCAGCCTGGTGATGTTACCTCTCTGCACCCTAATCTTTTGCATTGTCTGTTATCGGGGAACTTGTATTATTGGGGAATTTATTACGTCTCAGACCACTGCCCCGCACACTCATTATCAGCCCAACCGCTCCCAGGGCAGCAGCTGCACTTCAGCTGACCGTGCTCAGGAGTCACAGGTTGACTGGTGCCAAACCATCAGCTACAACTGACTGTAACGCTGAACATCAGCTGCATGTACTTCTCATCATTTGCAGTGACAAATCATCTCACTACTTTTTAGAATTTAACTTCAGAAAGATACAGTTAGTTCTGCAGAAAAAAAGACCATCTTAAAGCAACACTTATAAGCTGTTACACAAAATCTGACCTGACAAACTGCATTAAAATACATACTCTGAAGTTGAGGTTAAGGCTCTTTTCTGATTTGTAGCACAGTTAGTGGAGATCAGTAATATTTTCTTTAAACTGGATATGCATGAAGCTGTATGGAAAATAGGAACAGTTCCAAACCGGCGGATAGTCCCAGGCAAACCAAAGATGGTTTTTTCCCACTTCTCCACTCTATTACATGACTGAGATTATATTCTGCAAAGATTTTTTTTTCCTCTTTTTTTTAATGACTGCAAATATTGCAAAGAAGTCTTATCTCAATTCCCATTTTCTCCTAACAAGTAAAATCAACTTACAACTTTATAAAGAATAATTTAAGTCACAGTTAGACAATGTTAGTGTGAAATACTGTTATTTTACCCAGAGCAAAAGCAATTTTTTGTGAAGATATTTCTGAACAAGTGAGGAAATCCTAAATCCTTTCAGAGGCTTTACGTACATTTTGGGGAGTCTCCCAGAGGAGACACAAGACAGACATTCTACCCTTGCAAGATTCAATCTGTCAGGCCTGCTCTGGAGATGAAAAGGCAGCGGCAGGCAGTTGTGCTGTATTTTGGGGAAGGGGTTGTAACAAAGTCCAAGCGCTAAACTGAAATTATTAGTGCTGAATCCCCTGAAAACAACGACATTGACCTGCTAGCATGGAGAGGCTCATGAAATGAGCTTGTTAAGCTGCTCCTTCCTGGAGAAAGTGGAGCCATTCATGGAGATTACAGTGAAACTGGTATCTGCACTATAAACCTCTACCCGAGTAATTTGTTGATCCTGCTTTACAGTGATTTAAAGACTCAAGCAGCATAACCTCCTTCATTATTTCACTCTGAATTATCCACTTACTCCCTCTAACTTACATCTTTTCAAGAACAAATGATTTATTTGAAAGACAAAGCCTGCTGCCCACGAGTCTGTCACTCAGCCCTACATTTGCTACTCAAACATTCCCAACCCAGTGACGCTGCAACCCACTCAGAACTATCTCCCATTTAAAGTATCACAATCAAGCTGATATTACATGAAAACGATTCTCAAAATGCAATCCAATTCTGGTGGAAGCTAAAATTTAATAGACCTATGGGAATATTTTTATAAAGAATATAGTGTGCTTTGTAAATTACCCCAGCTCTCTGGAAGATTTACTTAAACTCTTGAAGAAATTTTACCTTCTAATCTTTTATTCCGGACCTCCTCATCAATCAGATGCCATCAGTTTATCAAATTCAATTATGTAATCAGAGCTCACTCAATATTCACTAAAAGCAGAAATGAAAATAAGATACTGAGCAAAGACTCCATGAAGAGAGGTAGCAGTAAAGCTTTGACAACCTTGGCACTTCTCAGGCACGGGAGCAGAACTGCACCCCAAGCTTCACACCTTTAAGCTGCAATGGAAAGCAGAAGTATAAACCAGACCTACAAGGACAAGTTTGGTTGGTACAGAGCATCCCAGGAAACAGGAAAACTGGCAGGAAAAATAAAAGCCACCTCAGGAAGAAAACTGTAGGGATACAAAGATACAAAGAGGCCATTTAACAGGTATGGTGTACTTGTACTTTATTAATTAAACACAGGAAGGGCCCACAATAAGGCCAACCTTGGCCAATCAGGGGATTAGAAGTCATGAGAGCATCTCAGTTTTTATTCTCTTGAAGAATGTAGTAAAAAGCTAATAAAAAGCTGAGTCCAGAAACAGCAATAATAAAATACTGGAATGAATATTCTTAGCGAAAATAGTTTTCTGCATACAGTAAAAAAAATAATTTAAAAAATGGCAAGCATTCATGCTTTACACTGTTACTTTCTTCTAAATGCTAAATGTGTTAATACTCCCAGCCTCTCTGGCTTTTCAGCTACACCGATTTAAAAATAAAAATAATAATAATTAAAAAATCATCTGAGTTGCAAGAAGGAGAGAAAGGATAAGATGCCAATCTGTTGGCACATAGAAACAGCTTCTACAAATTTTCATTAAGTCTGCTTACCAAACTCACAAACATCCTGATTAGTATCCTTAAAAGGGTGGTGCAGGTTTATTTTTATGTAAATCTCAAGAAAAAAATAGGATTTAATATGTAAAAATGATCTGGAAGTTTGCTCCAAAACTTGTCTGCCTTGCTTTTGTGCCTCATTAAACTGCAAGAGTTCCATCACACTGCCAGGTCAGCAGTATATTTTCTTTCTTTGGTAGATGCAAAGCTTAGATGGATTTTATTTCAAATACAGTTTCAGAACCTAATTCAACAATGCCCGTACACTTTTGTTTGGATTAATGCTGACATTTAAACACAAACATGGTGCTGCATACAACTGTTATCTACCTTGGGTTTCTCCCCAGCCCTAGCAGATGAGATGCATCGCAGAGAAGCTGAGAGCTTGCTCATCCTCTGCTCCCCCTGAAAACCCTGTGCAGGCACAAACTCACAAACAGAATCTGTAAGAGGAGGCACAGCCTGACTCTCCAGCTTTGTAATGAAGGAAAGGAAACGAAAAATTCCAAGAGTTGCTACTCATTAGTTAACCAAGGGAGCCTGATCTCCTGAGGATAACGTGAGGAAACACGACTTCAGAAACCAAGCAGAGTACCAGCTCGGGGACCTCAAACACACCCTCTAATAACACATTAACCAAGTCTGGCTAATGATTCTTAGCCCTCTAACAGCTTACACTTGTAAAACACAGAAACCAAAGTCAGATTAAATAGACCTTTCAATTAGGAGATCTTGAAAGCAGTCCTGCAGTCCTATCCCTCAGGAATTCATAGATTTTAAGTAAAGATGCAATTTGATCTTGAACACCTCTATCCTACTGAGAAAAAGGAAGTTACCACACTCCAGAGAAGCATCACGTCACCTTCATCAGTGAAAACCACAGCAACTACCCTGGTAAAATCTCAGTATTCTTTTCTCCAGAGCTGTTGGACATCAACAGTTACACTTCAAATCACATCTTGAGAAAATCGGTTGCTGTAGTCCTGACCACACTCAGAGGAAGAATAACACAGTGAGTGTGGAGAACGGGCTAAAAGATCCCCACTGCCACTGCTGTTTGTCTTTGTTATGTATCTCTACTTTTAAGTTATTTTTAGGTGAGCCAATATTGAATATTAAAAGCAGATTAATCTGTTCATAAAGCGGCAAGTCGGAGCAAATACAGCTCGCACACTAACAAATACCATTTGTGCAGCTGTCTTTCCATTGCTCAGTTTACCCAACGGATATGATATTGAAAATAAATTTCTGACT